AGTCCAGCGGCACGTGCCTGCCAGGCCAGCAAACAAAGTAAAAGGCAATGTATGCACATAAAACAGAACCTGAGCGCATCGACGCAAGACATTGCGAGCCAGTGTCAAAATTTGTGCAACGACTGAACTCGAGACAAACCAGCTCGCTGTGAGGGTTCAGAGTGCATAAATTACCTTCTTTGTTTTAGATCACTTCTTTTCACCAATTTTCTTTCGCGGAAGATTTTTCACGTATCGAGGTCTCTCGAAAGAAAGCCTACCGATAGGCAACCTGCAATGCTGGTTGGTTTGGCGCCATCTAGCGACTGAAGTAAAAAATATTAGATATCCCTGGGAGTAGCTGCTGCATTGTTCAAACTTGAGCCTTTACTCTAGCGGCGCCGCTTAGCCTAGTGTGTGAAACAAGATATACTGGGTACCCTAGGAAGATCGCGTAACATGCCAGTGCAGCAGAAGCTACGGCCTTGGCAGGCCAATGGGAACGTGACTGCGTATCACCGGAGCGCGCCTCAACTCCAAGGAAGTATCAGGCTTTTCGCTGCGTCGTTCACTAATATGCGTGCGTTGCGCTCGTATACGTCGTCGTCGTGCATTTCGAAGCCGTCGGCACGCCACCTGGAGCTTATCATTCACCCTTTGCCAAGTTACAACGAAACGGGGTATGACCGTGGGCTCCCACTCTGTTGGCGCCGCCTGCCTGATGCCGGCTGGCCGTAGAAACCTAGGTAATCAATACTTCGACGCAGCAAACTGAGTTAAAGAGGGATTCTTGTAGGAGCGTATGATTGAAACAAGAACAGGAATGTTGATGAACATGCGACAGTCCTCACATTTCAGTTTAGAAAGCGCCATATCTGCAGCGACGGGGGGACGGCAACTCCCGGCGTCGTTGTTTTAGGAGGGTGTGCTTCAGCTCACAAAGTAACTCCCGCTGCTCAAAAACGTGGTTTCGTTTCACAGCATGACGGCATGGCTGGCCCGATACACAGCACGCTACCGTCGGAGCGTTCACACACGCCCGCGTGTCGTCAAAAAAATTTAAAAAGACGCGAGACGAGATTTACGCGAGGACGAGAGCCCGAGACGAGAGACGGCGGGAAAAACCATCCAAGACCGGATGGACCATTGATGCAGAGTACCTCGTGTCGGGCGGCCGCTTGCGCCACGTAGCTCACGCATGCTCAATTAGGGCACTCGGTTTAGTTTCGGTTTCGAAAGGCGACCAAAATTGGTCCTTTGGCGCAGGCTACCCATATTTTGGCGAAATGTAGGAGGATGTAGCACGGTTAGCCCCTTGGCGCAGTTTGGCACAATTGGCGCAGCAATCCCATCACTGTATGGCGTTTGGCCGATTTTCTTTGGCGCCTAATAGTTTGACGAGCCTTAGACGAAATGGATGTTTTTAGCTCAAAATTTGGACAAGGTTTCTGCAACATGGGGCTAACTACCCAGGTTCCTAACGTGTCACTTGGGCCATATTCTTCCGTCGACCCATTTGCAATCAGATTCTATTCGTAAAGATTAACTGGAGTCAAAAAGTAATCAGAACATATAAAGATTCTACGGGCATGCTGGTCAGGAAGCTGAGAATACGTCCCACACTGTCCGTGTGCCGTTCATGCTCTTTTGTTTCATTCCTTTTATGCATTTGGTTATCTATTTTAGTTCTCTTATTTATTTACGTTTGCACTACAATAAGACCATTTATTGCGCGAATACTGTTTTTTTATCTGGAAGCGAAATCTAAGGGAATAGTAATTGGTGTCCAATAATTTCGAAGCAAATACTCTGAATATCCGTAACTCTTCATTTTCTCAAAGATCTAGAGTGCAGGAGGTGCTCCCTTCTGCAGTTTACAATAGCCAGTGCAGTTCAAAAGAGCCTGTGTAGCAGGCACCAGGAGCGGCAGCACTCCCACCACACCATAGAAGCCTTCAAGTCATTTGCCACTGTACAACTGCAGAGTCTCCTGTCTTCCACGCATCATCCCTCCTTTGCCGCCTTTCTCAGTTCCCAAGTGCATCTTGAGAACTCGGGTCCACCAACACAGCCAGGTGGTCCTTCTTAAAAGACAATTCATGCTGCCTCATCAGGCACTGCTATAGGTTAAGTGCATGGCGAGAGGGGCATTTCTCGCGAGGGTGTTGGGCCCCCAAAGAGTTGGGTCGTGGCCTGGTCAGGCGCATGCAGGACCTTCCCAGCTCCAGCTTGCACTCCCTCCTGCTGAGCTTGTCCAAAGTGTCACAGTAATGGGCACACGCAGGTTCGCAAGTCTGGCCCCCGTGGCGTGCTCACTGTTCCGCCAAAACATCTTGCGCAACTTCCAGAGGATACGAGTCCATGCTCCTCTGCACCTCAAGAAGGTGTCCTCGAACTTTTGCGCTCGTTTTGTATTGGCCGACAATCGCTCTGGCTTTCGCGCGGAGCTGAGAAAATGCAGCCCCTTCTCTGTTGGCATCGCTGAAACGCAGCTGAAGACTGTGCGCGAAACCCCTCACGCCAATCCAGGACGACCGTGCAACCGCCGACGTTTCTTCCATTCTCGGTAACGACGTACATCGGCACACGTTGGGATTGAAGCTCCCACTCCTCGACGACACCGGAGATGAAGAGCACCAGGTTTTCGGGAGTGCGAGAGTCTGTCATCTGGGCGCAGGCCAATGAATGCACGTATTGCATTGTGTCCGTTGCGTGAACGCACACGTGACTGTCACTCACACGCAATCTCCAACCATCCGTTGCAATCGAGAGGCACTCTACTCAGCTGACGAACCCCAAATTTTTTTTTAGAGCGCAGCTCTTAGGCGCCTATTTCTGGGTTGAGCGGCGGCGCCATCGGCGTAACCGTGCACTTTGCATTATGAGAAATTTTCAAGCTAAATTTAGTGGGAAAATTTTCGCTAAATTCCTCGCTCAATTTAGCGGCAAAATTGTTGCTAAATTTCCCGCTAAGTTTAGAGCAAAAATTTTTGCTAAATTTAGCGGGAAATTTAGCAAAAATTTCCCAGTAAATGGGAAGGCAGCAGGCGAGGAGGAGTGGAGGGGGGAGGAGGCACATACTTTACCCTCTGTAAACTCCCCTCCTCCTCAAGAGCTGCGCTCTCTTCAGCTCCTCTTTCTTCGATTCATAACGCTCTGGGATAACGGCAGGCATTGTTCATCGTGCCGAGGAATTCAGACTATAAGTACAAACCATCCTTTTTGTCATCTGTTGCTACTGAAGCTTGGGTTTGCTTGCCTGCTTAAAGGGGCGATGCAACGACTTTTGTCTTTTACGAAATACCGCTCAGAACGGATCCCTGACGTTAACTACCTATGAAACACCCGTTCGTTTTTCACCACGCACCCCCTCAACTCGTAGCCAGAACAAGCGACCACTTGATCTGGAGCCGATTATATGCCGCCAATGTTGATCATAGCCACGCGATGGGGTTGGCAAGGCACAGGAAACGCGCTGAGTTCCAGACATTGGTTCGGCTGTTGTCGTCATTGCAGTGATTGGACAAAAGACACTACCCGAATGCTTCTCGAGCTATCGATTAACACGAGCCCAAGCCGAGTGTCCACGCCATTCTCGGGTCCAATCTATGAGCCGCATTCAAATATCGTCACTGGGCGGTACTGCTACCGCCCAGCTACGTCATCAGGTTTTGCGAAGGAGAGGTTGAATGAAAACACTCGGTTTTGTCCTCGAAATTTCAGCGCAGCAAGGGAGTTTCTTGGTCGGTGGCGTTGCGTGCGAGTATCCTTGAGTCCAACTAGTGCCGGTAAGCTCGTGTAAAGTGAAAAACATTCCAATTGAATATCGTTGCACCGCCCCTTTAAGCTTAGTTGTTCTTTAACTCATTGAGGTAGGCCTGGTTTCAGTCCAGGTGTCCCTTCAGGTGCATTGCAAGCGTTGTCAGGGTCTTCAGAACCACTTTGCACGTTAAAGATCCAGCTTCAGGGCCCGGAGAAATGTTTGTGAAATATCTCCCTATCGGGTTGCCAGCAGTCGTCACGTTTGCCATGGTGATCCGAAACAGCAGAGTGGTCCCAACGACGCAGCCAGTTCATTTGGCTATTGGCTAGTGTTGGCAATCTAGTGGCTTTCGAAAGAAAAAATAAAGCACACCTCGACGTGTCCATGGCGCTGGTACTTGCTAAATAAAACCGAAACCCCCCAAAACAAGTACCTCGAAGTTCGCTGTTCGCTCGCGTCAAATATTTTGAAATTTCTGAATACCGGAATTATAATCGAATTTTGGATCGTATGTTATTCGATGGAACATTTGAAAACATTGAATATTTGCATGAGCCTACCATTTCCCCTTGCAAACCAGCTGTGCTAGTAGCTCAGTGGCTATAGTATCCGACTGCCAGCCCACTGACACCGGTTCGAGTGCGCTCTGAATTTATATATGAAGCTTATACAGTTAACGTCCGTGCCCCTCCCAGCACGTCACTCGTTCGTGACGCTCGCTACGACACTAGTTCGTTAAAGGCATAAAAAACTGCTCGTAAAACACATTCTGCATTAAAATCTCCATTTGTGGCGGGGTACAGCAGAAAACGCATTCTACCGATGAGAAACTGAAGGTCAGCCACGGAGGCAGGGTCGAGCGATTTCAAGAAGCCGGCACCCATGCAAAGTTGCCATAAAGGGTCTACAGTGCAATCCACTTAAAACGAAAGCGAGAAAACCTGAAACTTCAATTGTTATAACCGATTATCGTTGCATCTGGACTAGAATCTGACCGTTTCTAGACTAGAAACTCTAGAAACTGATTGTTATAAGCAGTGCACCATTGTATGTGGTGCCGTTATAAGTGAATCGCACTGTATAAGGCTAGCACGTATTCCAAAGGGCTGCCGCCTTGCACTGGTGAGAGCACGTGGCTTCATCTTGCGTGTCATTTCCGAGTGTTCTCGAGCGAAAGAAACGCAAGATGCAGCTTTGACAGCGTAGCGCAAAGTAGTTGAGGCCGAGCATAAAGGCTTTTGCTGCATAAAGTTCTTACCTCCATGAACTGAACGTGAACCTTGAAGTCCGGGACAGGGGCCCCCTTCTCCCGGGCCTCCGCCTGGCGCCGAGCAATGCCGGCAAAGAGCTGATCTACCGCCCGGGGAATGACGCCCCGCTCGTGCTCGTCCAGGTTCAGGCCGTACCCAGTGCTCATCGTGTACGTCTTCCCGGACCCAGTCTACAGGGACAAACACCCCCATTGGGACGCCTTTTCACATGGAAGATCCACAGCCAAATAAAAGTCCCTCATCGCTCACACCACTCGCAACAAAATCATGGCGCCAATTCTTTTTCGGGAGATGGGGCATTTCTTACCCAGGCCCCATAAACTCCTCCGTACCTTTCAGAATGGTGGTGGGGAAAAATACTTTGTCACAATCGCTTTGGGCATAGATTCATTCACCGAGGCACCTTCTTGACCACCTCATTTGACGGCGAGAAGGGCCACCATAAATCAATTTTATGTTCACACAGAATGTGCACTTCAATTGGGGAGTTACTGCTCATTCGCATCATCTTATGTCGTGGTACCCGAAACTGTTCCAAGCTCTGCAGAAAAAGATTCCTATTTAAGCTGCAAAACAAGAAAACACATTCGGGAACGATTTCACAATAACTTCGAGTTGTCAAAAATAATTAATGAAAGTATTTTCAATCATCAAATCAAAGAAAGTTCATACTGTTATATGCCTGGCTAGCATGTAGTGCCACAAGGTCCCCTCGTGGCCTGATGTCTGGAAGTGCGGCTCTCTATATTAAACAGGGGGCCACACGGCTCCCTCACTTAGTGTTGTGTTGGAACCGAACTGCGTCTGTCATGCTTCCGCTTCTTGCCGCCGACGAACGTTGGCCGGCGCGAAGCGAGTTCAATTTACACTTGTAACACATATATCTGCAAATACCGAGGAAGGGGCCAATGGTGCTACAGAGGAAAGCCCTTATAAGGAAGTCCGCGGGACCGGAGGAATTTTTCGTAGTACAGGAAACTTCGTCGTAGTAGTTGAGTGCGAAAAATCAACTGTGCGAAACCGAATTTGTGCTATCGCACGTTGACGTACATGCGTCACGTCAGAAACTAGGTTTTGTACATTGACAATTGACTATCAAAAGGGGGAATAAAGGCCAAGTCTACTAGTGCATCCCAGCTCGCCCTGCAGAATCCAGGATGATGCGCTCTATTACCTTTTTGTCTAAATGAAAACTGCATAGGCAACGTTTGTGTACTCACCACTGCGCGACGCAATATAAGGATACCGGGCTAGCCATACCCCCAGTACTGCCACTGGCAAAGTTTGTCATCTACAGCTGAGACACCAGGCGCTCCTTACTGCAGACAAATTTCCAGCTGTGCAGACTTGCACACAACAAACTTGGTTGACTTTTCAAAATATGAATCGCAACAATCGCCAAACCATTGATGCGACCCCCGATTCTGGAGAGAAGAGGCGTTCGCAGGCTGCGTAAATTTGGACTGTTCTCAACCGGGTGGCAGCTAGCGCCACCCCGTGTCATTCTGAGAAAGCTTTCGAAGCACCTGCTCTCGTAGGAGTGGACACAACAGCAGTGGCAGCACTGCCGTTGCTGCAGAGGACCAGAGCAGCACGGCACAATTGGCCACGCTCCAGCGCACGGCGTTCCAGAGCACCGAGGAGGGGCGCACACAGAACCAACCTTTTGGCACTCGTGTCACAGAGGAGGAAACGTTTTTCTCTGAAGCTCTACCAATTGCACTTAGATTTCGGCATCGCGTGTAGTCCCAGATCAAATTTCAGCTTTAAGAAGGAACAGTTTGAGACTCCAATCGAGCAACATTGGGAATCCTGACGAAGGTCGGCGCGTCCGTTGAACAAATGTTAAAAGTTGCGACTGCGCACCAAAATACTTTGAATGCACACTCTCGTTCGTGCGGGTGCATTCCAAAGCACCAACTTTCGTGCCAAATAATGCGCATTGTGCGGCGGAGGCGGGACGGCATCCGTCACGCCTACTCGGTTCTGGGCCCGAACAATTTGGTAGTGTACGATCTTGTGTCTAGATGGCGCTACGTTGCTTCGTACAGGCTTTCTGCGCAGCAACGTAGTCACGTAGCACATTCTGGACCAGAGGTCTAAAACTCATTGTAGGAAGGGGGGGGGGGGGGGGGTGAGGCAGGTTGTCTAGCGCAAAAGGTTGAGGGCCAACGAGAAAAGGGGGGGGGGGGCACTATTTCGGTATTTTGGGACAAAAAAGGCCCGCAATGCTGGTTAATTTTGGAAACCAGCCGACTCTCCCAGCAATACCACAGGAATTTTCTAGAGAAGGGATATCCTGTTCGCTGCTTTTTGTAAGTGCGCTGTTTTGCCAGAGTTGCTTTGATTCGCATATCCTCTGGGCCACAGCTGATGTGATACGATTGAAAATGCCATTGTGCTAGCAGCTTTCGTTAGAACAAGATCAATCGCACTGTCGTTGCCCTATCGCACAATTCACTAAGCTCATCAGTCACGGAAACAAATACCTCCTCATACAATTTTGTAGCAGAATTATAAGAAAAGACTCATACTCTAATGATGTTTTCTGACGACCAGAGGCTCGAGCAGCTTTAAGTTTCTTCCGCTGAGTTCATGTAGCAGAGGTCCCTCTTTGTGCAAAGCTTGTGCTTGTAGCCTAGTATAGTGGTATTGTCGTTCCGGTTGATCTACACGAGGAAGGGCTGAGAAGCAAATATTTAGACGAAGCATTACTCAGTCCGAAAGAAAAGATTATATTGTAAGATATGAGAACACGTTGTACGAGCAGAAATGAATGGACGATACAGAACTATGTTTTTATGGGGCATGTAGCACTCGAGACATGGCAATGGGGGCTCGAAGCCGCACGATACCTGTGCGGCCGCGTGTTCGAGACCCCGATCTGGACACATGGTTGCATACCGACGAATTATTTGGACCGAGACCACGAGCGTGCGACGGAGGCGACAGTGCCAATCGTCTCCAGTGCCGCGGTATTTCTGTTCTGTATGCGCGCCACTTAAGAGCGACAATTTACGTAAAAGCGATTACTTTTCACCGAGAAAATTTATAATACCGGTCATTTTTGTTTTGTAGAGTCGCGAATTGCTTCATTAAATAGATATATTTGTTAAGCAGGAATTTGTAGTTGTCAGAGGAACACATTGAACACAAAGAGACTGGCCAGGACTTTATTTTACTTCATTAAACGGTATTTTCTTAGTAAAGGCGTTTGTTATAAAGGCCTTTGGGGGTGTCATTGTTAGCTCAAAAATTGCGCAAGACACTTAGCAGTAAGTTTTCTGCTCGCATTAATCGAATGCTATCATGAACATGGATCACATAATTAACAAGCTGCATTACAAAATATAAAGCGTTTAATTTCATTTTTCGCGAAAAAGCACCATAAAACATTCGTACCATACCAAGAAAACAACTGCTACCAACCAACTACGACATTTCCATTATGCCAATTTACTCGCGATTAGGAACTTGGCAATATCGAGTTGAACCGAGTTGGACTTTGGCAAACTTGTAGCGCCAAGTTCAAAAATAGTTGGGCTAATCAGGTAGCATGGAGCGCACTCACTCTCTCTTACCAGAATGTTTGTGGTCATAGGACAAAGTCATCAGAGTTCTTGTCCGGAGTTATAGGTAATTCATCATTTGCCTTACTGAAACGTGGCTAGAAAAGCTATTCTTCAGTTTTAGCCTCTGTGTTACCCCTGGCAGACGGCACCTAAAATGGCATTTATGCCAAATGACATTCAAGATGGGACCTGCCAGACAAAATCTCAAAATGGCATTTAGGCGATATGTTTGTTGCGATTCCGGTCCCAAACTTGCCGCGGGCTCACAGATAATGTTTGCGTCAATCATGGTGTAAGTAAACAATTTTAACACGACGAAATACTATTTTAGTGTTGTCTTCTGGGACAACAAAATAGAACAGGGGCCCTAATCTGGACACTTGGCGCGAAAGACGGCGAGAAATCTGACGGTTCTGATTGGCCGGCGCCAAAGTCAAGTGCGGCGTCGGCCAAGCGCAGCCGCCAGACTTCTCGCCGACTTTTTCGCCAAGTCTCCAGATTAGGGCCCCAGAAAACCAAGATAGAAAGTTGTGCACTCAAACCATAAATATGTTTGATTTCGGATGAAAACTAGATGTTTTGTGGCAACCATGAGGCGAGGCGCTTGCACGACGGGACGTCTTGCGGCCATACCTCGGCAAACCTCACTCATGAGGGCCCTCACTCACCCTCACTCACCCTCATCTTCATAGGTGAGGTGAGGGTGAGTGAGTTTCAGAACCAGGAAAATTCATGAGTCTAAGGGTGAGTGAGGGCCGTGAGGGCTGTGAGGGCGGTGAGAGCCGTGAGGGCGGTGAGGGCCGTGAGGGCGGTGAGGGCCGTGAGGGCGGTGAGGGCCGTGAGGGTGGTGAGGGCCGTGAGGGCCGTGAGGGCCATGAGGGCCGTGAGGGCGGTGAGGGCGGTGAGGGGTATGCGTGCGTAAGGGGAGTGAGGGCGGTGAGTGGCGTGAGGGCGGTGAGTGGCGTGAGGGCTATGAGTGAGTGAGTGGTGTGAGGGCGATGAGTGCGTGAGGGGTGTGAGGGCCATGAGTGCTTGAGGGCAGTGAGTGGCATGAGAGGCGCGAGGGCCGTGAGGGCCATGAGGGCGGTGAGTACATGAGGTGGTGTGAGGGCCATGAGTGCGTGGGAGCGGTGAGTGCGTGAGGCCCCCTTCAGATCGAGCATCTTTCTCAGCAATTTTGGTGATAATGGCGGGTTGTTTTCTAGCTTTCCCTAGATCGACACGAATTGCTGAGATCGGGTCCGCTCGAAATAAGCAAGCAACTCGGAACAATTCGAATGCGTTTGAAGCGGCTGCATCCAATGAGGGACGCGAAATTTTCACGTGATACCTCGTGCCGGCGATGATGACACCAAAAGACTTGGTTCTGGTTTCAAATCGATCGTTTTTTTTAAATAAACTGTTTCAGAAAGGTGCATTAGTATTCTTAACGAGATTTAAATGCATAAAAACAGGTTTATAATGCGTAATCGTGTCTAAATAGTGCAAGAAAAATAAAATTTTATGATGACGATGGCAAATTGCAGCAATTGGTTGCTGCGTGTGATCGCGTGCGGCCCTTGTTGCTGGTGTTG